CTCAAGGATCTGAAGGCTTTGGGTGGAGATGTTGAGAGGGTAGCAGTTAGGGGTCACATTGGGAAGTCGCTCTGAAAGGCCAGTATTTCCACAGAGGGAGACGAAGTTTGAAAATGAGCTTTGGCAACTGGGGGCCTATCTTCTGAGATGTTGTATAAGTTAGAATTCTGTTGTTGACAAATGAAAACTAAGATTTCATGTTGGGGAATGACTTCCTCTAACACTGTATTTCATGTACCGTTATTTGTTTATTTTGAAAAAAGAGTGATTCAAATTTATTTATTTGTTTGTTTAAATTTTGCTATAGGGCATGTGCACCCACCAGAGAGACAGAGAGCCTCCAGGTCTGGAACTCAAACCGTGGTCAGCCATGGGGAAGTCCAGCGCCTAATCCACCATGCCACCTCCTGACCCCAATTTTTATTTTTAAATAGCTTTTTTTTTTTTTTTTTTTTTTTGGCTATAGGGTGTGTCCACTTGCTAGAGAGAGGCAGAGGGAGCGAGAGAAAATAGGAAATCACCCCTAGGGGGGATAGCCGTGCCACAGTTCCTTCTCCATTCGGGATTTTCGGCATGCACATACACACACTCAGTGTGACTTTCAAGATGCCAGGTCCAGGACACGTACCACACAGTATGCCATGTGGATCCAGCCACCTTAGCCTCTACTCCACATGCTGGCCCTGTGCACAGTTTCTAATGATGGGCAGATGCTTGTTGATCCCTGTTCCGATCACGTAGCACCGTAAGGTTTGGAGCCATTGCTTGTAGCCCTGACCTGGGAACGTAGCCCTTTCTCTTAATCTGCTTCATCCCAAGTTGACCATGTGATCATGTGACAATTTTTTTTCATTAATTTTGCTAGGGAGCCTGCATGCTTGCTGGCAAGAGAGATAGGGAGGGGGAAAGTGAAAAAGCATGCCCTCGCCATGAATGGGCATGGCCACACTGAATCCTTTCTCCATCTGTCCCTCCTGTTGGGATTTTGTGCACGTACACACGTGTATCTTGCATGTGTTTCAAGCTGCCTGGTCTGGGACTTGAACCATGCTATTCACCATGTGGAATCCAGCAGGCTTAACTACCACACCATCAGCTGGTCTGATCAGAGAATAATTTTAAATGATAGCATGGCAGCAAATATCTGGGGAAACACCGGCTCTTCAGAGCAGTTTCCCAGTGCGACCCCTAATCTCTGCCCGCTTTCGGTCTGGTGGAGGGTGCTCTCGTGGAATCTGCGTCACCCCGGGCACCAGCTGCTTCTCAGTTCTGGTCCGTGTCTTTCATCTGCTTTCCTTGGAAGTCCTCACACCCCCAGGCTGCTTTCTTAGCTCAGCCCTCCATCATCTCATTTGGACATTACTTTTTTTCTTCTCAAGATTTAACACTAGCAGGTCCTTTGCTCATTTTGAGGAGACTCATTTGTTTAACCCTTCGTTACTTTCCCCCCTTACTCCCTATTACTTGTCGCTGTTTAAATCTTAGGCGCCAGACCACACGTCTGATTTTCATCTCCTGCACAGTCATGTTTCTGCGTCTGAAATGGCTGCAGTTCTGAGTAGGTGGGAGAGCCCATGGGCCGAAACGCCCTGCCGTTATGGCACCCCAGCCTCACTCAGACCGCGGCCTCTAGGGGACGGGGCTCTTGCTGTGGCTCGGATCCCTTACCGCTATCTTCTTTAGTCATGGAGCTCAGTGCCTGCTGATGTTGAAGCCGGTGCCAGTTCTGGGAGAGCGGCTGGGGGCACCAGATGGACGTGGCATGGCCCCGGTCATGAGCAACCCCTGTCAGCTCTCCTCCTCACAGCGAAGGCACAGCCTCAGCAAATTGTGGTCGCAGACCACCGTGTGACACCCTACGCACAGCAGGCCCTTTTATCCGCGTCTACACTCTGCAGTTTGTTGCCCTTGGTGTGGCACCATAAGATATTTTACGAGACTCCATTCCTTTTTTTTTTTTTTGGAGAGGTTTTTGCTATACGGCACGTGCACTCACCAGACAGACAGAGAGAGACAGATAGAAAGTGAGAAATCACTCCCCAGAGGAGATGGCCATGCCTCAATCCCTTTTCCTCCGTTCTCCTCTCGGGATCTTGGGCATGCACACACAGGCGCCCGGCGTGAGTTTTAAGCCACTGGGTCCGGGACACGAACCGCAGTCAACTACGTGGGAGTCCAGCGACATAGCCATTATGCTAACTGCTGGTCCCGAGACTCCATGTCTATAACCTTTTTTTTTATAAGAAATAGAATATTTTATTATTTCTTTTTTTGCTGTAAAGTTGTTGCTTCAACTGTATAAAATAGCACTAGCACATGTAGTATATTGCATAAGTAAAGTAGAACTGTTCAACAGTATACAGTTAACAAACATTTTTCTCCTTTCCCAGTTATTTCCAATGGAGAGAAAATGAAATATTCTGACCCAAATCCAGAGATTGTTATAAGCACAATACAGTGTTCTATAATACTTAAGATAACAGTGTTACCACTAATTGTGTAATTTTTATAACTAGTTTTTAATCACAGATAATTTCATGAGTTCTGAATGCTTGTAAGTAGTCTAAGAACCATAGAGTACTGTGAAAAAGATGCATTTTATGTTTATTAAAAATATGATCATTAGAAAGTTAAGGGGTATTTCTTTCTAGTAGTGGTATTTAGAGTAGTTTCTTTTTCTACTGATATTGCTAAAAATTGCTATTTTCAGTTTATCAACCACTAATTTAAGGGAACTATGCCTGGATTAAGTTGTTTTATGTTACTTTGTTGAAGGGTTCTGCTTCCACTGTTCCGTAGACTCTACGTACTTCTCATAGGCTTCTTCACTCCTTCGTCTGTCTAGTTCTGAAGGGTGACGCAGTGTCGTCCCGCACGGCCAATCATCTTTGCGACAAGATTTGTTGGCAAGTCCTGGATTTTCTGCAAGAGCTTCATTAACTTCAGTGACTTCTCCCAACAGGAGAATAGAGTTCACCAGCAGCTCTCACACTTCCCAAGCACAAATCGTCGCGTGTGCAGTTTTGTCCCAGCTTCAGGCAGATCACAGTAAACCGTATCTCCCCCAGCTTCCTGTGCAGAATTCATGGTTCCCACCTTGCCAACACCATTTTCTGTTGCTATCCATTCGTGTTTCTCTATTCATGTTTCTCCATTCATATTTCTTACACACTGACAGCAGAGCCAGTCTGTGCTCAGGGTCCAGACCGCACCCAGCCTCAGCTGCCAGGACCACAGCCAGCAGGGCCCCGTGGGCACCGAGATGGTGCTCAGGCTGCAGGCTACGGGACACGGCCACGGCCCGCGCTCTCCACGCGGCTTGCAGTGCAGGGGTGCTGAGGGTCACAGTGCTGCTCCAGCCTGCCTGGGGCAGGGATGGGGAGGAGCCACGCAACTTTTTAATATAGTATATAGTTACAATTGTCTTATTTTATTGTTATTGTTGTTAATATCTTACTGTGCCTAATTTGTAAATAAACTTTATCGTGTCTTGGAATGTATCCCCACAGGTACGGGGGACTAGTGTGGCAGATACAGAGTCTAGGTCTAATCTTAGAATCGTAGAGTTCTGAGGTCTAGGCCCACTCTAAAGTTCGCTGAGATCTAGTTGCCCAACTCCTCGAGCAGTCTACCCTTTCTTCCCTTTGATGTTATTATTTCCATTTGTGCCAACTAGGGGACTTTTCTTGGGCTCTAGATCAGTTTGTCAAACATCAGTTCACAAAATGGACAAATTGTTGAATTACTCATTCACTGAAAACTTGTTTCTATTAATTGCTGATGTTTAGAGCAACTTGTGTTTCACTGAGGCCATCAGAATATATATACATATATTTGTTTTTTTTTTGGAGAGATTTTCACTGTAGGGCGCGTGCTCTCGCCAGACAGACAGACAGAGAGAGACATAGAGACAGAAAGCGAGAAATCACCCCCCAGGGGGGATGGTCACACCGCAATCCCTTCTCCTCCATTCTCCTCTCGGGATCTTGGGCATGCACGCACACGCGCCCGGCGTGAGTTTTAAGCCACCGGGTCCGGGACACGAACCGCAGTCGACTACGTGGGAGTCCAGAGACATAGCCATTACGCTAACTGCTGGTTCCCCATATTTTTTTTTAGAGAGAGATTTTATCTTTTTGTGTGCTGTAGGGCATGTACGCTTGCTAGAAAGACAGACAGAGACAGAGACAGAAAGTGAGAAGTCACGCCCCAGGGGGGATGGCCATGCCATGCTACCCCTTGTCCTCCATCCTCCTTCTGGGATCTTGGACACGCATGCACACACACCAGGTGTCATTTTCAAGCCACTGGGTCTGGGGGTTGAACTGTGGTCAGCCATGTGGGAGCCCAGAGATGTAACCATTACACCATCTGCTGGCCTGCCATCAGTACATATTTAAAGAAAGATAATTCCTCGAGGATTTATTTTACGTGTCATATATATCATGAGTCTCAAGGATTAATATTAGTGAAGTGAGTTTATGTCTTTTTAAATAATTATTTTTTAAATTTTATTTATTGTTTCATTTATTTTAGTTTGACCAGAGAGAACAAGAGTTAAAGTGAGAAAGCAAGCCACCAGGTCCGGGACTCAAACCGTGGTCAGCTATGTGGGAGTGTCCAGTACCTTAACCACCACAACACCTGGCTTATGTCTTTAAAGACATTTTCAATCTAGTTTGTTGACTACCTATTTAATCTATTTTCTTCTTCTTCTTTTTATTTTTATTTTTATTTTTAAAGGAATTTGCTTTGTGGAGTGGGAGAGAAAGGGCAGTTAAAAGTTCGTCACAGGGGGTGCCAGATGGTGGAGTAGCCGTTGAATGTGACGAGTAGGCTGACCAACCCAGGAAGGTTCCGGGTTCATGATCGGAGACCTGCCTGAGGTTACATGCACGTCCGTGATCCAGGGCTGGCTGGGGCTGGGTGTGGAGCCCAGTGTCAAGAGCCTTTCGGCTGTACTCTCTCACTCTCGCCGTTTCTTTCAGGCTGTTTCTCTCACTCATGGAAGAAATTAATCAACTTTTTTTAAAAAGTTGAGAACAGGAGACGAAAAATTATGCTTGGCAATGTTTTCACTATCTGCACTACATCTGCCATGTTTCCATGGTGACGTAAAATCCTGTCCAGGGAAATCTTGCATATTTGCGCAGCAGTATTAGCTTTGGAGAATTGCTTAGGTGTCTGAAATGTAAAACAAGATTTGAAATTGATATTCAAGGTGGCTGGATGACAAATTCTTGAGAAGCAAATAGTCGTCTGGGCTGAATCACCTTGGTAGTGCCTCAGGAGACCACAGCGGGGGCAGAACCTTTATGGTAACGGCATGGCTCAGCAGGGACCGCGGCAGAGAACAGAGGAGCTGGTGCGTGCTTGCCCCGCCACTGCCCCGGCCCCCCAGGCCATGCGGCTGGGCTCGGGTCCTCATCTTAAATGTCAGCTTTGCTCACGTTGCACGTTTTTCAGCTTTGCTCACGTTGCACGTTTTAGGTAGTGCTCCTGCACAGACGCTCAGACCTGAGTGCAGAGAGCACACTGGAGAGTAACAGTGGTGATAGTCGGTATCACTGCCTTGCTCCTGGCTTAAATGACATTTCTGCTAATGATTCGTGGTTCATCATGAAGCTGACTTACAGGTCAAACAAACACAGTTTTGTTTTCACTTACTTTCATGAAGTATTCATCATTTCCTACTTTACTGAGCATTTATATCAAAAATGGCTACGTTTTTCTTACCTGTTATGATGATCTTTGGAGTTTTCTCTAGAGCATAATACACACACACACACACACACACACAGATATATTAAAGCATTTTTAAAATTTTATTTATTTATTATTTAACTTGACAAGAGAGAAACAGAGACATAGAGAAAATGAGAAAGCAAGCCACCAGGTCTGGGACTCAAACTGTGGTCAGCCATATGGGAGCCCAGTGCCTTTAACCACTATGCCAATAGTTGTGCATTTGTGGGATGACTCACTTGATCAACAGTGTTTGTTTTCAGATGTGCTGTTGGATTCATCTATCCATTAATGTGTATGTGGGAAGTTAGTATCAAAGATACACACCGAGGCTAGGTCTCTCTTTTTCCCACTTCTTTCCCATTGTCATCTCAGTGTCAGTGCTTTATTTGTTTTTTTAATTAAATTATTTATTTAATTTTATTTGTTATTACTATTATTTTTTAAATTTGCTACAGGGCACACACACTTGTCAGAGAGAGAAAAAAAGTGAGAAAGCAAGCCACCAGGTCCAGGTCTTGAACCACAGTCAGCCATGTGGTAGTCTAGCACCCCAACTACCATACTGCCTGCTGGCTCCTTTATTAGGCTTTTAAAGGTTTTGTTTTATTATTTTTCTAAATTATTTTTATTATTTATTATTTTTATTTTTTTGGCTTGTTTCTGAGGAATAATAAGGCTGAGTTTCAAAGATGAGGGTACCACAGAGTGATGTCAGCGGCCAGCTGGAAGCTCTGTTTCACAGGCTTCTGCCGGAGGGAAATTTTGACCTTGGGATGGATGCTGGAGAGGCGGGTTTCCTCCACGGCACACACTACTGTGGGCTAGGTATGTTCTCCACTTCTCGTTGAGAAGGGACGCTCCCCCTGGAGTCACACCTTGCAGGTAGGAGACCTGCCCCACCTGCTGAATAGCTGGTAGCTTCGAGCCAGGTGCTTCACCTTCGCCTCAGTTTCCTCATTTATAAACACGGCACCTTCTTCATGGAGTCACGGGGTTTTCATGAGAGGGTGCGTTGACGGGCGGAGCGTGGAGAGGGCATGAAGTAAGCGCTCATCATTATCTTACTTTTGCTAATAGTACCCAGCCTCACCGTTTTCCTATGACTGCTTCTTCCCTAGGTAGGAGGTGTGCAGTCTTTGGGGGGAACAGGTGCACTTCGAATTGGAGCGGAGTTCCTGGCGCGATGGTACAATGGAACAAACAACAAGGACACGCCTGTCTACGTGTCCTCACCGACCTGGGGTGAGTCTGAGCTCTAGTGAGAGGAGAAACAGCGAAGCCCGAGAGGTTTACCCTCAAGACTCTCACTGGTTACACAGGATGTATACTCCAGCCCCGGAACAGCGAACCGTGGGAATGGCTCGAGCAGTGGAGTATGGAAGTACACAAGCAGTCTGGTGCTCCGTTTCAGATTAGGAATACCGTTCCCGGGACTCCTAGTAGACTTGTCTTGTAGTTGTGTAGCAGCTGCCCAGAGGTGGTATAAAATGGAGCGAGGAGCCTCTGGGGTGGGTTGTTGGTTTTGCATTAATTAACGTGAGGGTCGGACCTGTTGTTGGTCGCAGTCGTCCTTCTGTGTCTCGGCCCTGCCTTGGTACCCAGTGGACATCAAGTCTGGGGAGCTGGCGGCTGATGTGGCCCTTCCAGTGATGCCTCCTCTCCTCTGTAAGAGCAGTTCAATGTTTTATCTCTTTGCTTGCAGAGAATCACAATGGCGTATTTTCTGCGGCTGGTTTTAAAGACATTCGGTCCTATCACTACTGGGATGCTGAGAAGAGGGGACTTGACCTCCAGGGTTTCCTGAATGATCTGGAGGTGAGTGACTGGAAAGAAAAACGAGAGGATGCTATGGTGTCGGGACCGGTGGGGAAAGTCTTCGGGTCAGTTAAGTGAGAGTCTGAGACGCCTTCCCCAAACCAGGTGGTGGTTCTGGAATAGTGCGTGGAGGAAGGCACAAAGAGATGGCAGGGTGATGCGCGTACGGTTGCCCTTTGCCCTTCATTGCCGGCCCCTCTGCTCCTGGCTCTGCCTCCGCCATTACTACTAGTTGAGAGCTGACAGAGCTGCTTTGTCCTCAGAGTGCGCCCGAGTTCTCCATCTTTGTCCTCCATGCCTGCGCGCACAACCCAACGGGAACCGACCCAACCCCGGAGCAGTGGAAGCAGATCGCTTCTGTCATGAAGGTAACTGCTCTTCCCGAGCGTCTCTAGAAAACTGGTATGCATTATCATTTCATGTGTTCAGAAGCTTTACTGTTTACTGAGGAGTTTGAAAAATGGAGAAAAGTCCAGAGAAGAAAATAAATAACACTAAATGTTACGACCTAAGGAAAGACACTGTTAATGTTTTGGTAGGTAGAATGTCAGACTTTCTGTGCATGCACAAGCATGTGCATGTGTGTGTGTCCACACGTGTGCGTGCGCGACTGATAGGACTTGGGATGCACGTGGATAAGGGGGATGAGCTGCAGAGGTAGGAGTCAAGGTACACCCCGGTGTCTGCCCTGGACGGTTTGGGGAGAGAAGTGGCGTCCACTCAGAGGAAGCGTTCAACCGAAGGGGCGGGCTCAGTGTGGAAGCCCTTGGAGGGACTGGGGTGATAAGGACAGGCCACTCTGGCTTCCTCATCTTGAGTGTCCCATAGAATAGCCCTGAGGTGGTGCCGAGGCCTGGGCACGTCAAGCCTGCGCTGGACTAATTTGCCACACCAGGAATCCACGGAGAGGAACGCACCAACATGGGATGGTCCCTTCATGCCTCAAAACTAAGCCCCATCAGCCACGCTGCTTCGTGACGCTCTAGGGCCATACACTTGAACATGCAGGGTCTGCTGAAATTGATGGGGTTGTTGGTTGGTGTTTAGCTGAACAGAGAAACAGATGTGACGTGGTGGTTGGGGGCGTAGAGCTGAGAAATGGAAGTGGAGAAATGGACGATGCTAGAACTCCCAGTTCTGAGGTTGGTTCCAGAATTTCCTGCCCTGACTCACTCTCCTTCCCCCCAGCGCCGGTTTCTGTTCCCCTTCTTTGACTCAGCTTATCAAGGCTTTGCATCTGGAGACCTAGAGAAAGACGCCTGGGCCATTCGCTATTTTGTGTCCGAAGGCTTCGAGCTCTTCTGTGCTCAGTCCTTCTCTAAGAACTTCGGGCTCTACAGTGAGTGCTCCCCGAGGGACAGCCCTGCCACTCCCCCTCCGCCCCCCGTGAGCAGCTGAGGCTGATTGTCCTCCCTCTTCAGATGAGCGAGTGGGGAATCTGACCGTGGTCGGAAAAGAAGCTGATAGCATCCTGCGGGTCCTTTCCCAGATGGAGAAGATCGTGCGCATTACTTGGTCCAACCCGCCTGCCCAGGGAGCTCGGATCGTGGCCTGTACCCTCTCGAATCCTGAGCTCTTTAAGGAATGGTAAGAGGCCCAAAGCCTGGGGGGCGAGGGTAGGAACGCAGAACCGTAATCATCCCGTTACACGTAAGGGCTCATGCTTCTGGCAGAGGCGGGACGAAATCAGTTTAACCTCTTTGGGCCTCAGATTTTTCTGTGAAGTAGGGCTGACCCTGACCTCACCTGTGCGTAGCACAGCACCCAACAGAAGACGGAGCACTCAGTGGGTGGCGGTTCCCCCAGGCCCCAGTCCTTGCTTTCCTTCCCCGTAAAGTTGGAAATCACAGGAAGGAATTCCTGATGGAATCTGATTACCCAGCTTTAAGGTAGTGTGTCCATCTGGGGGCTCTTCATTCTCACCTCTGACTTACACACACCTCCCCTCGTTTAGAGCAGAGGGGTGGAAGTCTGCAGCCTGAGGGCAGGCCTGAGAAACCACAGTCCTGTCTGTCAATGCCTCGATGTGGCTCGAATTGAAACATTAGTGGTATCAGACCCAGTGGGCCCAGCATAATACTAGATTGCACCAGTAAATACCAGGGCACTTCAGAAACTCTATGAAAGTAGAATTAAAGTACAAGTTTATTTTGGTGCAAAAAAAAAAAAATTGAAATCTGTGCATTATTTTTTCATAATACGCATTTTCCGTGAACTTTTTGAAGACATTGCATCCAGGCCTTTCCTTTTGTCCCAGCCAGGTATCCATGTACCGTAACAGGCAGGTTTTGGTCCCGTGTTCAGCTTTAAAACCTGCACGTTCTCAGGTACCGGTGTCCTGACTGGCTTGGTATTTATTATCGCTGTCCCTGCTTCAGGACAGGGAACGTGAAGACAATGGCTGACCGGATTCTGACCATGAGATCAGAACTCAGGGCACGATTAGAAGCCCTCAAGACCCCCGGGACCTGGACTCACATCACTGATCAGATTGGCATGTTCAGCTTCACCGGGTTGAACCGTAAGTGCCCCTCACACCCTGAGCTCATGCTCACAGACACGCTCACAGAGCACATGGACACGCAGCACCCTGCTCGGTCGTTGGTCTCAAGCTCCCCTCTGTTAGTCGCTGCCTCGTTGGTCAACCGTGATTTTGGACCAGAGCAAGCCAGGTTATCTCAGGGTGAGCCAGCACCTCCTGAACCCCAGGGGTCTCAGGAGAGAGTGTCGTGTCTGCCCTGCTGACCTGTAGCCAAGAGATTCCATTTTCATTCGCTGGGAAGTGGCTCCGAGCCAGCTGGGAATTAGCAGGGTTTGTAGCTTGCAGCCTTGATTGGGAAGCTGTTTCTCATAAATACTTTGGTTCTTTTGGTTTTATGTTAATCCTAAGCATAAGATTATTCAGGAACCTAATTTTTTAAAAAATTGACATCATTTTACAGATTTGTAGGGATTCAGTGTGATTTTTCTGTAAAGATTGCTGCGCATAATGATTAAATGAAGATAATTAGCATGCCCATCATCTTACACGTGTGTCGTAACTTTGTGTTGGGAACAAATTCTCTTTTTTCAGTTACTGTGAGATATAAGAGGTTGTCATTAACTATATTCTCCCTACTGTATTTTATAACAGTAGAAATTGTTCCTCTGACCCATCTGTAATTTTGTTTCTCTTAATCAGTATCCTTGTATTTCTCCCTCCCCTGCCATCCTTTGTCAGTCTCTAGTAGTCATTTTTCATTTCTCTACTTTCATGATAAATTTTTTTTTTGAGAGGTTTTTGCTGTAGGATGTGTGCACTCGCCAGAAAGAGAGAGACAGAGAGATAGAAAGTGAGAAATCACTCCCCAGGGGGGATGGCCATGCCACAATCCCTTCTCCTCCATTCTCCTCTTGGGATCTTGGGCACGCAAGCAGACATGCCCGGTGTGAGTTTAAGCCACCAGGTCCGGGACTCGAACCATGATCAACTATGTGGGAGTCCAGCAACATAGCCATTATGCTAACTGCTGGTTCCCATGATAATTTCTTAACAGGCCTTTCCTAGTTTCAAGATACTGGCCTCAATATAATAATAATAATAATAATAATAATAATAATAATAATAATAATAATAATAAGGTTGCAAAGTTCTCTCTTCATAGATAAGAATTTACATTAGTATTTGGGATTAAAAGTGGATTGAAAATCTGTTGGCCAGCCATTAGTAGGGTGTATCTGTGTTCAAGGGTCCCTTCCAATCATGGAGAATTCATTTGTTTAATAAGTAATTCCCGAGCACCCGCTGGTCAAGCCACTGTCAGGCAGTGCGATGCAGCCACTCACTGTGTCTAAGTGCCTCTAGGAAGGGACATGTGGCGGGCTCAGGTGCAGGTGAAACAGCTGAGGCACCAGGAGGTGTCTGGCCACTGGGTCATCCGAATGCCAGTTTGAATTGGGCTCAGGAAAAGCCACAGGAAATAAACATAAATGAGAGCGATAGTGGAGATTGTATTGTGGATCTCTCAAAGTACCGTGGGTGAAATGAAGCGACCCAAGTAAGTAAAGGCCAGGGCAGTTGGCTGTAGGTGTCCCGTGCCTGGAATGGAGAATTAGTTCACTTCGATGAGTGTAGTCGTCCTTGTACAACCACAAAAGCGTTTAGCGTAATGGAAATGGTCCTTAGTGGTAATCCAAAAGCACGAGACGGGATATGGTCCATGACATGGTCACAGCCTCCCACTACCCAGAGCAGGAAGTCTGTTTTACTGTGAACGAGAAAACGTGCTCATAACACAAGTTATATTTTTATTTTGAACAGTTGACATCGTTTACTCTCTTTAAAAACATGGTTTTAAAATACCTTTTCCCCTTCTCAACATTTTATTAGGAAAGGCTTTTTTTCCTTTTGTTTTTCCTATCCCCCCCAATCCCAGTTTTGCTATAGGGCGTGTGTGCTTACTGGAGAGAGACAGTGACAGGGAGAGTGAGAAATAGCCCCAGCGTGGGGATGGCCATGCTGCAGTCCCTTTGCGTCTTAGCATTTCGGGCACACACATACGTGCTCCTGGTGAGTTTTTGAAGCCACCGGGTCTGGGACTCTAACCGTGCGGTCAGCCATATGGGGTACAATGTCTGAACCTCTGTGCCACTGGCTGGCCCATGGAACAGTTCAACACAGGGAAAAGCTGGAAGGACTGTACGGGACCCTCCGGCCCACCACCACATACCGACCACCTATTTCTACAAGTCCCATGTTACTGCGGCTCCTTTAGTGTTTCTCCATCAGAATGGTCTTGAATTCGGAGTCTGCTGATGCCTTTAGGAGATCTGTGAAGCCCCTGAAATTATACTAGAAAAATAGTGCGTGTCTGTAATTGGCATTTCTGTAGGGAGAGCCCGTAACTTACTCTAGCTTTTCTTCTAAGAGTTTTTGCCATGGGTGTGTGCACTCACCTGAGAGAGACAGAGAGCGGAAGAGAGAAATCATCCCCCGGGGCATGGCCACACCACAGACCCTTCTCCAGTCTCCTCTTGGGATTTTGGGCATGCACACTCACGTGGCACGGTGCATTTCGAGCCAGGGGATCTAGGACTCGAGCTGCACAGTTGGCCGGGTGGGACCCAGTGCCCTCACCACCATGACACCTGCCAGCTCTGGAAGACCCATTTTTATTTAAAAAAAAAATAAATAAATAAGCGCTGAGAGCCCTGTAAGCGCCACCCCCACAGCTCTGGACCGCGAGGCTCTGCTTCCTCTCAGTGACTGTGTGTTCACACAGCGAGAGCTGGTCAGGGCAGCTGCTGGAGCTGCTTTGTTTGTCTGCGGGGACCCAATGCGGCCGGCACTGAGTCCAGAGTCTGGTTTTCCACCTCCATAGGGAGGCAGCTGGTGTCGTGGGTCAGGGGAGAGCCGAGTCAGGAGTCACGCCACCTGTCCACATCCACCTCCCGCAACTGCGCGACCACGGGAAAGCCCCCGCTGCCCTCTGAGATGGGGTGGGAAGGCTCTCACCCAAATTAGCTGGGTTCAGGTAGAGTGCTTAGAACCCTGCCCGGCACATGGTGTTTTTTCTTTCATTATTTTGATTTTATTATCATTTTTCTGTTCTCTCAGATTGACAGTTTTACCTAGGTCAAAACCAGCTAAAACATTTCTGTTAAAGTTGAGTCTTTTTTTTTTCTTTTAAGGCATGTTTACTTCTTTTATTATAGAGAGAGAGGGAGACAGAGAGAGGTACCCACATCAGGGTCTCCGTGCTGCAGCCGACCCTTAGTCTCAGCCAGGTTGGCTCACGGGCATGCCTGCGACTCCCAGCATGCTCAGGGAGGCACCCTGGATTTTTTTCCCATGGGTCCCGTTGCATGACAGCTACAACACTGCCTAGCCTTCAGCTAAAATTCTGTCGTGGTTTTATAAAAAAGCTAAACTTCCCTAGGGATTGTGGCATAAAGGAAGTACAGGCAGTCCCTTCCTGTTTCATCCACAGGACATTTCTGCAAGTGCAGGGCCCCTCTGCATCTGAAGGGGGAGCTGAGAAATGAATGGAGGCCTGACGGTGCCAGCGTGGAGAAGTCCGTGTAGTTTTTCGGCCTGTTGGTTTATTCACATTTATCAGCGACTTCTAATGCACGGGACCTTGCCCAGTGTACTGTAAAAATGAAATGTCAAGGGGATGGCAGGTGGCAGGTGGCAGTTAAGGTGCCGGGCTCCCACGTGGCGACTAAGGTTTGAATCCTGGACCTGGTGGCCTGCTGTCTCACTTTCTCTATGTGTCGCTCTCTGGTCAAATTAAATGATAATACTACTAAATAAAATCAAGTAAATAATTCTTTAATAAAAATGAAATGTTGAGGGCCAGCAGATGGCATGGTGATTAAGGCTCTGGACTCTCGCATGCCAACTGCGTTTGAGTCCGGGACCTCATGGCTTGAAATTCATGCCAGGGGCCTGTGCACACATGCCCAAGATCCCAAGAACAGAATGGAAGAGGAGGGATTGTGGCATGGTCATGCTTCCTGAGTGATTTCCCACTGTCCCTCCCTCCGTCTCCCTCTGGCAAGTGCACGTGTTCTATGGCAAAAACCCCAAAAAAGGGAAGCGAAGTGTTGAAGGGTGGTTGCTGCTAGGTGCTTGGGCGTGAGCGGGCAGGTCAGGGAAGCGCTAACGGAGTACTTAACCAATGTCCATGCCACTGGAATGTTCTTAAGTCTAATGATCAATTCGTTTTTGTTTTTTTTGAGAGGTTTTTGCTATAGCGCACATGCTCTCGCCAGAAAGACAGATAGGGAGAGACAGAAAACCAGAAATCACCCCCCAGGGGGGATGGCCATGCCACAGTCCATTTTCCTCTTGGGATTCTGGGTATGCACACACACGTGCCTGGCGTGAGTTTAAGCCACCGGGACCGGGACTCAAACAATGGTTGACTACATGGGAGTCCAGTGACATAGCCATTATGCTAACTACTGGTCCCTAGTGGTCAATCTTAGTTAATAGGGATGTCCTGGTTTGTGTAAAGTGTGAGGTTTGGTTGGGAGGCAGTCCTAGATTAAAATTCCTACCAGAAGTAGCCATGACGACCTTCCCAAGGATTGGAAGGTTAGCCAGTGTGAGTCCTTTTAGAACCCCGAGCCTATTTTTCTATTTGTCATTTGGACAAAATAGCTCCTTAAGTTTTGCTTGTCTATGTCAAGAACTTTCCCTTCTTAAAGGGTCCCTGCTGCTCTGACTGTGTCTTCTTTTGGTTTTCAACAGCCAAGCAGGTTGAATATCTGATCAACGAGAAGCACATCTATCTGTTGCCAAGTGGTCGGATCAACATGTGTGGCTTAACCACCAAAAATATCGATTATGTGGCCACCTCCATCCATGAAGCAGTCACCAAAGTCCAGTGAGGAAACACCGTCCAGTGCAGCTCCACCAAAGCAGCTCTCCGTCCCGCGTGTTCCCCGCCCGCACAAACCTAGATGAACGAATCATGGATTAGAGACCTCACTGCAAGATGCATGGGCTGCTCTGGTCGCGGGGGCCTGTGTGAAAGCAGGCCCCACGGGAAGAGATCATCCCTTGAAAAGAATAGGGGGCTTGGGATTAGAGCCTTTTGGAGGCCAGAGCAAATTAGGATTTTTATTTACGAGTAAAAAAGTATTGTGATCATGAGACAGAGCTATCTTGTCCCCTCGCTAGACGCAGGAGTGTCGTGTTGCTCGTGTATTTCTGTGTGTCTCTCCACTCTGCACATGGTCCCAAAGATCACGTCTGAAGGAGCCAGGTGTGATTATGGGCACCAACCGTGGCATTAAAACTCACCTCTACCCAGAGTGTTTCGTGTCCGCGCTCTTCCTGCATGGCTGTGTCCCTAGTCCTATGCTTCAGGTCTTTAGGGCAGCCGTGGTAATAAATCTATTAAATGATCTCTCTCTCTCTCCCTCACACACACACACACACACACACACACACAGATACACATTCTGAAATGAAAGTCTCACAGAACACTATTTGCCCTTGTTACGTGAAGTGCATTCTGGTATTTTTTAGTCCATTCTAGTGTGTTGTGTTCTACTTCACTAAGAAAAATAAAACAAAAATGTTGACTGAGGCGCGTGGAATCGATTTTGCGATCCACTCCCGGGTCGTGACCTACAGTTGGAGTGAACGCTGTAGAGGGATCTAGCGGCTAAGGGAGACACCGACACGTGTTCTCCCAGGACAGCCCCGTGCGTGAGTTCATGGTACCGTACTGTGTCGGTTTTGTGGGCTTATTCAGAGGCTGGGCCCCCTCCGTTAATTAAAGGAACCGGGCTCCC